TGATTCTTATTAACAGGTTTTTGATTACATAAAAACTAGGGCAAATTTCATATTTCATCTTGTATAGAATTAGCTTCCTTCCGTAATTTTGAGAGAAGTGTATGAAGTGGGGAACACCCTTCCCCTTACCTCTCCCCCCAACCGCGGCGGCTAGGTAGGTAGGTTTCCGCGGTCATCGTGATTACATCATGCCGAGGTCGCCGCCTTTAAAACCGCCGACTGTTCAGTTCTACGTCTGGTACACTCTTGCCCTGGTAGCAGCTTCACTCGTTCGTGGCTCGTCTTTTCCCCCCCAACCACCAACCACCAACCACCAGTAACCACCCTTGGCTCCCCGTACATCTGTAACGCCCGTGACGCCCTGATCGTTTTTGGCGTGGTCGAATGCCGCCGCAGGATCTGGATCGGCACACGGATGCCGTACCTGCGCTGAAAGAGGCTCTGGCCCTTGTACGACAGGAGGACGAGCAGCCGCCCGCCGTTTCCGCCCGCCTTTACTTTGCTCTTGCCCAATCCGCAGTAGCTGCCCATTTGCCCAACTTGCTGCGGGAGAGCCTCCGAATGGCCCGACTTAACGGCCAGGTATGTGCATGTGTGTGTGCGTGTGTGTACGTGTGTGTGTGTGCGATGCGATGCGAAGTGAGGACCCCGAAGCTTGTGTTTGGGAGGGGTGTGGCGCGTGTGTGTGCGTGTGCGTGTGCGTGTGCGCGTATGTGTGCGTGTGCGTGTGCGTGTGTGTGTGCGTGTGTGTGTGTGTGTGCGTGTGCGTGTGCGTGTGTGTGTGTGTGTGCGTGTGCGTGTGTGTGTGTGTGTGTGTGCGTGTGCGTGTGCGTGTGTGTGTGTGTGCGTGTGCGTGTGTGTGTGTGTGTGTGTGCGTGTGCGTGTGCATGCGTTCTGTAAACGAAACTTCTGAAGGTCCTCTGCGTGCGCCGCGTGTTTCCCTCCCTTGACTGCATCCCTCACCTTCCCGGGTAATGGGGGGGGGGAGAAACGGGGGTTGAGGGTGAAGCACCGGGCCCAGACATTGCCTGTGTGTATGTGTATTTACCCTTCCCTCCCCCCAGGACCCCGCCTCCGTGTACAACCTACGTGGCTGCCTGGCCCGCAAGGAGCGGCAGTTCCCCTGCGCCCTGCGCTACCTGACCCGGGCGGTGCGGAGGGCGCCGAGGGAGACCAGGTTCTATTACGACAGGGCGCACTGCTACCTGGACATGGGACTGTGGCCTGAGGTGGGGGAAGGGGGCGGGGTGGGGTGGGGGGGTGGGGCGTAGGAAGGTGGAGGCTGGTGTGTGTGTGTGTGTGTATGGGGGTTGTATGGAGAGCCTGGTACCTTGGATGTCCCCTTACGGCCCCGGAGGAGAGGGGGGAGGGGAGGGAGTTCTAGCTTAGCTTGACATGAAACACCTGACAGCAGTCTGAATGGGACAGACTGACAGACTGACAGACTGACGGGGTATTTATTTTTTGCTTCTGGAACCCATGGGTATTGTTACTCATGTTACGGGTGTTAGGGTTGTTGCTTAGGTGGGTTCCTGACCCCCCTCCAGGTGTTGGGGTGGCCCCTCTTCCTCCCAGGGTGGGCTCCGCGCCCTCCCGTGGGCCGATATACAAAAAAAATTGGGGTGTGTGTGAAAGTGTGGGGTGGGTGGGTGGGTGGGTGTGGTGGTGCAATACCCCGCCCCAACCCCCGCCAACACACATCCACCCCCAGCATCACACACATTGAAAAACACGTGCGTGCAAACCCCCTGACAAACCCCCTGCATGCCCCACACACCCCTATTTCCCCCCCCTTCAGGCCATTGACGATCTGAGTGGCGCTCTGGATCTGATGCCGTACAGCCCCCTGCTGCTGTTCAGTCGTGGGGGAGCCCAGCTGGCCTTTGAGGCGGGGGATGTGGAGGCGGCGGCGGCGGACCTAGCCACGGCGGCGGAGCTGTGCTCGGTGAGGGGCCCCGCTAGGGGGAGGAGTTGCAGATTGGGGGGGTGGGGTGGGAGGGGTGGTTGCGGGGGAGGGTGTGTGTGCAAGATCCCCGGGTGGAGGTCCCGTTTTGCCGCGTCTAGTGTTTTGGGGAGTTTGTTGGGGGGGGGGGGGAAAGAGAAGTTTGGACCTTGGCAGGGTGAAGGGGGAAGCGAAGGGGGAAGAAGTATTGAGCAGGATTACCCGAGCTGCTGGCCCCCTTGCTGTCCGGTCGTGTACGGCTAAAAGCAGTAGCACGGGGCAGGATCCAACCTCACCTCTCCTCCCCGTGGGGAATGTCTCCCCATCCGAGATGTAGACGCAGATGCAGCACACCTGGGGCCCAATTCACACACACACATACACACACATACACACGCGCGCGTATACAAAGCACACGCACGCACACCGGCCCCCGGGGGGAACCGCGTCGCCCTAAGCTCCCCGCCCCTCTCCCCCTTCCTGCCCGCCCTCCTCCCCAACCCCGGTCAGGGATGTCTACGGGGCGAGGGCCCGTTGTGGGAGTCGCGCAAGTTCATGTCCTCTGGTTCCGGAGCCCCCGACTTGAGTCCCCCCCTCTGGTGAGGGGGCCTGTGTTACCCCGGGGGGGATTGTTTTAGGGTTCGAGAGGGGGAGGATGCAGCTGGGAGGGAGGGCCCCCGCGGCCGCCACTGCAGCAGGCACACGTGGGTGTGACCTGACCTGACCTGACCTGGGAGCGGTGGGGAAAGACCGCCACAGGCGGCGATTACACAAACCCTCGCCCCCCTGCCTTCCGGAGGCCGCGGGCTGATGTTGCTCCCCGGTGGATGCGGCGAGTGGAACCCGGAGGTGGTGCGCGGTCCCCCCCCCGGGCCCATTTAGGGTTTCCTCTCTCCCACCCCCACCCCCACCCCCACCTCTTGCACCTGCGCCCCCGGGGTCCTGTCCGGGCTGTCCGGGCGGGACTGCCCGGTGGAGCGGCTCCGAGGCTCCCGGGGGGGAGGGGGGGTGCCCTCCCCCCCCTGGACTATCCGTCTATCTCGGGGACCACTGCTTCAATCGTCAGTGGTTCGTCTAACCCCCCTTCCGCCCCGCGATGCCTCCCTTTGCCCCAGTCGCTCTACCCATCCCCTTGCAACCGGCCTCGTAGGGTGGTGGTGCAGGCTTTCCAACGGGCTGCCTTCCCGCCCCTCCCCTTCCTGAGCCCCCCCCCCTCCCCCCTTCCCCTCCTTTTCAGCAGCATTTGCATGCGTTTTCGTTTTCGATTTTTTTTTTTTCC